AGAAAAAAGTTTTTAATATAAAATTTTTCTCAAGGATTTACAAAGACTGACACGACCAGTTCATGAGAACCAATTAGTTAACTTTTTAATACGTATAAATTTTTTTTTAAGGATTTACAGAAACTGGCACGACCAGTTCATGAGAACCAATTAGTTAATTTTAAAAATAAGTATAGACTATTATTAGAATTAAAATTGGTACGTATATCGATATGCAGTGAATAATTTGAAAATGGTATAGCGATGGATTTTCTTGGCGTACACGTCAGAAATGTCAATGGACACATTTGGACAAAAATCTTGAATATGTCATACGAAAAAAAATGTTAATAACTCAAAATTTTACTACGTATAACAACTACGTAGATTTAATTCATTAAGTAAATTCATTAAGTAAAAAGGTTAAGTACCTAATTTTACATATAACTATGTATCTTTGCATAAATATGCTTGGACATTTTAGGATTTGAAGGTTGGGCATATCAAAAAAGCCTTGGACATCAAAAATGTACAATCCTGTGCGCTGCTGACAAGTGGAGTTCCGGGAACACAATTTCTTAAAAAGAAACCAAACAGGACATCAAAAGTGCATAATTATGTGCATAAATTCTTAAAACTAACAAAGCACGTGTAAAATATTTAGGTCACGGATTTAGTGATAGGACCGATTTGCACTGCGTACGTACGTACGTACGTACCTGGTACGTACGTACGTATAATACGTTATTCGGCATGCCAGATGGCAAATGACATGCCAGAATGTCGTCCTGGCTTGTCATAACAAAAATTATATAATAAAATTTTTTTTCTAGAATATCATTGTTTAACCAATTAGATTACATAGTTATAATTATGTATTAGATGCTCCACGATAAAATTATCATTGTTATCAACGTCACGGTTAAAGAACGAATGTTAGCACGCTAATCATTCGAGCGGGGTAGGCCTCAACGCCAGGCCGCCTGGCTCAGATGTTTCAGAAGTATGTTTCTCGCCCCGTTATGATCCCTGTTAATCTCAAAACCGCAGTTGTCGCATTTGTAAACCTTCGTACCACCTAAATTATTCTTGATATATCCGCAACCACCACACGTCTTGGATATGTAATGTTCGTCACAGAGTATCAACAATCTTCCTGGATACTCTCCGATCTTATGCGTCAAATATTGTTGGAGTCGGTAATGTGACCATCGGTTCTTTCTCACCATGTTTTTCATCTCGAATCTGGGTAACAAGATGGTGCTGTAGTTATCACATAGATCCTTTGCAATCTTATGATGACAATCCTTGATGATGTTTTAGATCTTGGTTTCTATTCGTGTCATCTTGCATTTTAACATGTATCTTTTACGTTTGTTCAGACCACCTTTGCTGAGGAATCTTTCATCCTGATATTTATCATACCTCTTGCATAATTGATATATACAATTGATATCATCCTTTTCATACTCAATGGTCTTTTTATCTAGATCATAGCATATAAGAAAGGTGCGAATATCAGGATTGATAGAAACAAGATTATTGTCTTTCTTATATTTTTTATTGAAAGACATGTTAATGCAAAAATAAAAATATTCTAAGCTGTTACAGGTGATGTTTACCGTGTTTTTTTATCTCTAATAATTCTTTAGAAATTTTAATATGCAAATTGATTATTCTTATAAAAATATTATTTCACAATGATTATTTATAATTTGTATTTTTTAAAATTTTTTTAATTTATATTTAAATTTTTGATTTTTTTTTTGTTTGTTAAAATTGATATTATATATTTTTAGAAATTCTCGAAAGCCTGATCATAGATTGGGTTAGATACATTCTTGACTTAGATATTTTCAAGTTGATAATTATTATTATTGATTACTTGACTTTTTAATATTTTTTAAATTTTTATTTTTTTGATTTATTAGATTTACAATATGATTGTATATTTACTAATATATTTTTATTTATTTTTTCAATATTTTTTTTAATAGTTAAAGTATATACAAATCTTGTATATTTTTAAATTTTTATGGTTTTGTTTATATTGGTGAAATTAAATTGTACTGGTAAAACTAGTGATTATCTAAAATCTTATTGGCTATCAAGTGCAATAGCCAATCAGATTTTAAATAGTCACCAGTTTTATCAGCACAATTTAGTTTTACTAGCAATTCTAGTTTATACAGTACTAGACAGTAAATTGCATCCAATGTTTATTAGTAAAAACTTCAAAATATAATAATTTTTTGAAAACAAGCTAAATCAAAAAACTCTTTAATAAATTGATAAATTTTTAGATAAACTATATTTCTGTTAGAGTATTTTTTTTATTTTTTGTTTTAAAAATATTATAAAGGATTAAAGTTTATATAAGTTCAAAAAATTGGTTTTAATATAACAGATTTTAATTTTTTTTTTTTTTTTTTAATGTTAAGATGACCTCTTGGTCACGTATCTTTATTCGATTATAGTTATAATTTTACAGTATGTGATTTTCACATCCTGTATATATATTTGGAGAGTACAACTAGTTACACATGCAACTTTTGGTTGCCTATTTAAGTAGTCCGCTTATTACTAAGTTCTACACTAGATGTTATACCTATAACCCGACTAGGGGGTTATCTATTTAAACCCTCTGTGCCTATGTGATTATACCTGATAACCGAGCAAGAATCTAATTCAGAAACCCTTAGTTTCAGATACCGATTTAGGACTTTAAGGCAGGCTCCTTGCCCCAAAAGCTCTTTATCCTCAGAGGTAAACCTGCTAGAGCCTTCTGTATCCACAATCTAGCTGATCTAGTCTTCGGTTGATACACACAGGCCAAGACTTGCCACTTGCGTCCCAGTTTCTATATTGGGTACTATGGCCTGGTTGCCACTACACAACATACTTCTGCCCTTATAGAGTTCACTCCAAACCCTGGTACACACGTTACAGACTGTCTACGGTATCTCTGATTATCCCAAACTACCAATCCAGATGGTTCGGAAGGGCTGTGACCTGCTCCTGGTCCCCACAGTTGGGTCCTTTTCCTTCAGTTACTTTTCCGGCAGCCTAGTTGGTGAAGTGCCTTGCCAAACACTTTGGTCCTGTTTAGTTTACACGGTTCCTCTGATGATGATCCTTTACATAGTACCGTTGAAGATTTGTGCTATCTCTCTATTTAGAACTTGCCAAGCGAGTGCCCTACTACTATATCGGCCCTGTAGTTTTTTGCAATCTGAAGATTATTTGTGTAACTCATACATCACACAAAGGCACCGAGATCTTCCAGTTCCGATGAATTGGTACAACCACAGTTACAGGGTCTCGAGTTTTCCTGGCCACAACAATAGTTACCGAATCTGTTTTTCAAAATTCAATTTTCGTCTATAGTGGGAATTGAACTTGTACTTAACCGCTTGGGGGTGCGACAACTTCACCACTTCACTAAATCACCACACCCTTATAACAGATTTTAATAAAATCTAATTAAAACAAAATTTTTTATTTTTTAA